TAGGTACTTCGTACTACTTTCTAATAAATCATTGCACCAACACTTAAATTAAGTAATGTAGAATTAACCATAGCACAATTATTGTGTGAAAATATACTACCTTAAGCCACATGACATTGTTGACCAGTTTCAGGTTACACTGTCACTGTCTGACATCCTCTGTACACTCTAGTGACTCAAGCCAAATGTCTCATTTTGACCTCCATCATTTCATCTGTGACAACATGTCAAATTTGCTTTCATTTGGAGTTTTACTCTATCAACTGACCATCAACTGGCCGTAGTCTGCTTCCCTGACACACTATGACTTTGTATGTGCATGAGAGCAATAGAAAGAGAGAGTGTGGGGAGTGAAGAGAGCGTGAGACAGACTTCATTTTGTCACTGAGGTGTGGAAAGGTCTGTGAATTGCGGCATTAGCATTGGAGAATCCATAACTCATCTTGGAGTACGCCGATGAGAGCGGTGGGTTCAATGGGAGCACTTCTTTGGATCATTATGGATTATGGCTTAAAATGTGAACTCCGGCTGGCAGATTCATGTGATGTCAGAAGCAGGACTCTCCTACATGTGCTTAAGGACAGTATACGGGCTGTGTGGATGAGTCAGATTGTGAGCCACTGGGTTGGCACCAGTGGCATGACTGGCGCATAGAGGAACAGTTAGATATGCTGGACTCTGGCCTACTCTCTGCAGCCGTGATACTATTAGCATTCTGTGCCTCTGGAGGCCTCTTGGTCATAAAAACGGCCCAGTTGTCCTCTTCGGCCTGGTGAGTGGCTGAGAAACCGTATAGAATCATAAACTTGGAATGCTCTTGAAGTTTTTACACCTTGCAATACCCTGGCCAGTGTTTTAATTAAGTGAAAGCTTGAAGTGGCTGGCGTAATTACACAAGCACGATGGCCTAAGCAAACGAAATATGTCAGACCAACAGGGATGCTTTTGAGATTGTGACCTTTTCTAGTCGCTGTCTCCACATCTAGTTGAGTATAAGGATTAACAACAGTTTTCAAGCTTGTTTTTAACTTTTTTTATTTCAAAAAGACGTAGGGCAAAAAGTCCATGCGATGCAATGACAAACACAAAGTACCTGACTGTGTCAAATATCTCTTTCCACTACCTGATTAATGGCACGAGGACGGCAAGAGGAGTTCAGTAAATAGGTATACAGCCTAGAAACCAAACCAAACCACTTGTCTGAACTCCCAAATCCAACATGACATGAAGCTCATGAGTGCATAAAGAAGAAAGCCCTCAAGGTACACCATAAGCGTGCATGGAGGATCTAAGCTGCAGATAAGGAAAAATTAAGAGCCTGGTGAATCAAAAGATAATCACAAGTCATTGAACTTTCAAAACCCTCCTCGTTAAAAATCTCAGGCAGAGTATGGAAACCTCATTGGAGATATGAAAAAGGGGCTTTCTCTACTGTGGGCAGTTGATAAAAGGAAAGAGATTATGGGACCCAGTTTAGATTTAACCCATTTAGGAGAAATGTGTTTTTATTTTAAATGCAGAAGCTCTCATCATCTGCGTTGTTTTTGGTTTGTGTGTATTTTTTTGCATATGTTTTTGTATATGTTTTTGCATAATTTGTGGAAATCTCTAAAATCTCTGTCAACGCAACACGTAACACAGTCGCAACCTCTGTCCACACTTTTTTTTCCACAAATTTTGACACTTTATTAACCTCAGCCAATGGATCTCCTGCTACAGTCATTGGAGTGTATGTAAATATCAAAGGGTTGTTATTTCCTAGCACGTAAGTGCGTGCTCTGCCCAACATGCTCGTTGGTGCTGTCATGGAGACAGACACCTCTGCATTCGGCATGTCACTTTGTGCCTGTGGATGTCAGAAAATGCTGCACACAAGCATGTGTTCAAACTCTTGGCTCCAGTGCACTGGGAGGAAGTGGCCTCCCAGGGCACAGCAAAGAAAGGCAGCGCCGCAGACTCTTTTTAAGTGCAATGACGGAGACACAGCTCCTGATTTATGGAGTGAGTATGAGCTGGGCGGGTCATGTCCTGCAAGAGAGGCTGGCTGGAAGAGAAGGAGAGGGAAAAAGATAAGAGTAGAAAAGGATTGAGACTAAAAGAGAAAGGTGGGTGTTCGCATATCCCGACCAAGCAGTGAGGTCATATCCACACTAATGTCTATATCTGAAACAAGTCAAGATCAAACAAGTCTGTCACCCACATGGTCCCAGAAATACCCCACAGCTCTGATCTGTGACCAGGCCAAATGGTAAAGCTTGCCCTCAGTTAATCACCACCAGCCTAGGCGGCTGAAATAGTGACTGGAAAACCTAATTATAAGAAAATATAATACCCAGCCAGAAGATGGCCAAATCTGTCCTACAGTTGGCTGTATTTGTTTTTTGTATATATATATATATGTATGTATGTGTTTGTGTGTATATGTACATGAGTTGGCAGCAACCTGCATGTCACCAGCTTGGTACGGCTTGGCAGAGCCTTGAAACCTGCATTAAAATACAACTAAAAATACTTCCTGCCTGCTTCAGCCATCCGAGACGGCAACAGGGGAATTCATCCTGCAATGAGCCCATAATAATCTCTGCTATTTTCTTTCACGCTGCACCTTAAGCCACCCACACACCATCCTCAGTCAGCATCCATCTATTCTTCCAGTCTGTTAATACAGGAAAGCAGCGACAAAAACGTCAATTTAGCAAAGAGGGGAAGAGAGAGACTGAATGTGTCCTCTGTAGTGGCTGGAAATTTACGTGCCCATTGATTTCCTCTCAGCCCGTCTCTCCCCTGCTCACTGCTGCTCTGCAGCAACAGAAATCTCCACCCCAGCGGGATCTCATCGAATCCATCAGCGACCGGCAGTGAGAGGCCGGAGGCCAAGAGACACCTGAACCAAGACACAGCACCGCTCCAGACACCTACTACAGCATCCACAATACTACATGCCATTCACTCTGGTGGAGGACAAGTCGGCCAGCAGCAGGAGAGACGCAAACACACACCAGAACACGCTGTGGAGGAGGTTTAACACTGAAAGTTAATATATAGAAATATAATACAAATACTTAAGCTCATGTCAGGTTACAGCTACATAAAATAATGTATTTTCTTGGCACGCTTTGTTTATTCACTTAATAATGTTTTCTGTAACTTAAAAGAAGTAATGTGTCCCAGGAGGGCCATTACGCCTTAAAGTCCTTCACGGCCGGTTACACAGTGTTCCAGGTTGTAATTTACCCGAATTTAACAACATACAGAGCCATGGGAAATATTTGTTTGTGACTGGCTGAAGAAAACATTTCTTGGCAACAGTTTAACTACTTTTCTACATCCTTGACCAAGTTATATTAAACTGCAGGTAACCATAGCAACAATGCTCATATATCACATAAACTCACCAGTTAACTTACATTAATTAACAAATCATGGGGTTATATTTCATATAGAGGCCTCAGTATTAATTTTAGACTGTTTCATAACCAGTTACAAACTAAAGACTAATGTCTTTAAATAGTTTATTTTGTCCAACAAACCGAAGAAACCCGAATATACGCAAGTTTCAATCTTAAAACTGGTTGGAACCAGCAAATAATACATAATAAATTACTTAAATAAGGATTAATCAATCAAAATTGTTCAATACATGTTTCAATAAAAATGTTTTATGGGTTACTTAAAGGTCTATCAGTGTGGGTGATTGGATTATTGGTCAATGTAAAATAATCCTTAAAATACAACCTACTTCAATGCAGTTTTGAGGGGGAAACTTTTGTTGTGACTTTAAGAGCTGCTACATTTTTCTTTTAGAGTTAGTAGTCTGTATATCAAAGTTTTAGTGTTCTGGTCTAACTGTTGTTCAGGACCAGAATAACATGCTGAGGGAGGTGTGGAAGGATTTTTTTGGCATGAAAAATTAATAGATGTTGAAAATTCAGCTGCTGGCAGCTTAAATACTGGTATTATTATTATTATTATTACTGGCATTCAAAAACTCATGTGATTAAGCCCCCACTTGGCAGACACACATACACACGCACACAATACAATAATAGAAGTCGCACAGACACACACCCACATTGTGTGTTCACAAGCATGTGCACGGCAATACACATTTCTATAAACAAAATACAAACACCCACTCATAAAAAGATTAAATGTTCAAACATGAAAACTGAGAAATGTACCAGTGAATTAGCAGATATTTGTTCTTTTTTTCATTTTGCGTTCAATAGATTCTTCTGCTCAGGCTGAAGTCTAATTAATTCAGAGGGAAATCAAGTGGAAAATCACTGTTAATGGACTTCAGGCCATATTGATATAACTCCTCGATATCTGACGGGTGTAAATGGCCATGAAAAATACTCAGAGCAGAGCCTGATCCCTCTTAGAGCATCACCCAGAAACCAAACAACAGGTTCAGGATCTAGAAACTCTCATTCGCAGAGGCATATGCACCCAACAACAGCTGTTTACTCAAACTGAACACTAAACCTAAAAAGATTCTCTGTTAAAGCTTGAGAGTAAAATCTGGTGCTGGTCCTCTTTTTTAAGAGCAGTTATTTCCCCTCAAACACCAGGAAACCATAATCAATATCCGCTTTTGTTTTTGTAAAAAATCATGACCACAATCTAATAATCATTACATTTGGTCCCAATTAAATCCTACATGCTAGAAGATCATGACGGTATTGACTTGTAAAGAACTTCAATAATGAATTTAAAGCTATTATAGCAAGGCCTATACTGAAAGTAGCCAGAAATTACAATTACTCTCCACTTTCACAAGCAAAATGCCATCCATTATCTCAGGCAAAGTGAAAAACAGCACACTATCAATTATTAATCAATAAGCGCTATGAGCTTATTAATGGCACCTGCTGTTGAGTCGCATACAGCAGCAAGACAAAGAGCCACAGTAGCAGCTTTGTGAGGCTGTACAGTAGTGCTTTGAGCTGCATCGCTGACCCATGAAACTATGAAAGTACCTGATGGTGGCGCTATAGATTAAAATGTTCACAATCACTTAAGTTATTACAGTTAATCCTGATTAGGACACAACTGCACCAAGTTTCACTGCAATCCATCCAACAGTTGTGGGGAAGTTTTACTCAAAATCCAAAATATTTGTCCTGCTGGAACCCCAGGAGGCAGACCGCAAATCAGAAGGTTGCACGTCCTTGAGCAAGATGCTGAACTCCAAATTGCTCCAGATGCTAATGCATCGGTGTGAATGTGGCATGTAGTGTGAAGCACTCTGAGTGGTTGGAAGACTATATGAGTACAGTCAGGGGAGCACCAAAGTCATTAGGATACATCATATAGCAACTATCAATGTCTGCACAGAATTTCCTGCTAATCTGCCCAACCTCTTCTCCTCTTGGTTTTCCTGCTTAACATTTGTGACACTGACACATTCTCCATGAATTCACACCAACATTTGTCCTGATCAGGGTAAGATGTCACATGTTAATACCAGGTGTAAATGGGGTCGCAAACACCCGCTGACACTCAGCTGAGCCCAGCAGCTGGAAGCCGGACCAATCAGCAAACTGCAGGAAACATAATGACATAATGACATGATAATTCATCCCCTCTTGAGACTACTTACAGTCATCTAGGCATTCTACATAGAAAATTAAGCCTAATTCTGCAACGTCATGACCTCAGACTCATTCAGAAGCAAAGACTCTGCAAAGACCAGGCCTACCATACCCTGTCCCTGATTGGCTAGTATTTGTTGCCATGTTTAGTTTAGGCAAGATTTTTAGAAAAATGGATATAAATGGCAAAGAATTAGGGTTTGGGTATGTTGTGATTAGGGTTCAGGGTAGGTTTGTGCTGAATTAGGGTACTGGTACCTTTTTTGGTTTCATTCAGGCACTGGTCATTGCCACTTGAATATTTTTCTTTTCAACCACTCACAACTGAAAAAGTCATCCAAAAAGCCCGACCATACCTCATCCACGTTCTCGAAGGCGTTGATGATGTCGTAGGGCAGGCAAGACAGCAGGTCGATGACAAACCAGGTCTTCAGGTAGTTCATGCGGATGAGCTTGGGGTCGGAGATAACCTCCCCGCCGGGCCCCACGAAGGTGGTATGGAAGTTGAGCACGATGTCCACCAGGAAGATGACGTCCACCACGCTGTCCAGCACCAGCCACACGATGTTGTTCTGCTTGGTCTTGAAGGAGACGTTGTAGGGCACCATGATGGCGGTGTAGAAGGTGAGGATGAGGATGACCCAGTCCCAGGTGGTCTTGAAGGTGCAGTAGTGAAGGATAATGTGGGGAGGCGTCTTGGGCGCCTCCTGCTTGTACTGCGGGAGGATGTCGGAGTTTAGCTGCAAAACCTGGAGGTGGGACACAGCACAAGAAACTTTTTATTAGGTTTCATTTTAAAGAGTACACTTCCTCTTTCAAGAGTTAATTAACATAACCCTTTAATTAATACATATTAAACCACAGTATTAAAAGGTAAAATTGCACAAATATCTATTTCTAGCTGCTTCAATGGAAAATTATTGTACAAATCAGTGTCATGTGGGCTCTTAGACTTGACCTGCCTGTCTACAGCAGCCAAGTCAGTACCATCATTTAAATGACTTCTTTAAAAGCACCCTTTAATAGACTCGCCTCTGTGTAACTTTGATCCTGCCAACTTCTGAATCTCATTTACGCTCCTACGTTTACCTTCATCTGATCTCTCTTTATGCATTTCAATCGTCTTTTAATGTGTCACCCCAAGTTTCTTTTTTCATATTTAATTTGTCTGTAAAACTTTTTGTGAACTCTCCTTTTAAATAAATGCTACACAAACAGTATTATTATGCTTATAATGTGTAACATTTATAACTTTTACATTTATATTTATTCACAACACAGCATAATACCATAAGAATATTGTACTACAGATGTACACTGTAAACCTTAATACAGGAATTTAGTGATAGTAGTAGTAATTAAACTTAAAATGTCTAGTTTTTAGTATTTTCTGACCACTTCAGAACTTATAAACATTAATTCTAACTCGACCGGCATATTAAAAGACTTCCCAGCATGCATTTGAGCGTTACAACTCTCGTGAGACCCTCCTTTTAAAAAAAGAAAACAGATTTAATGTAAACTTGCTGTGTCTAATACATTTTTAGATAAGTCATGGTTGTTTGTTTTTACAACAATGCAAACATTGCAAACCATGATAAAAGTTAGTATTGACTTTAATCCCTACCCCCTTAATTAAAACATAATAAACTGAATTTGAACACTTTTACATTCTGTCTTTGTGCCGATGCTGGAACAAAGTATCTCCAACAGGAGCAGCAGTAAGTTCTTTGTGTGAACTGAAGAACTGACTCTTCAAACTGATCAAATGTAAAAGAAAATCACATTTGTAATGTTTGTCAGTGTGACCAAACAGCTGTTGGTTCAACTTAATATTGTGAGCTTAATGAACTTGTTTTCTCATGTTCGGATAACTTAACACAATTGGTTTTACAACTCATATGAGCAGGCTTTGACATTATACTACCGTGCACATGTGCAGTGCAAACACATTACAACACTTCTCACAACATCACTCTCTGGAGTAGTTGCCAATTCATTATCATGGCCTCTGGTGGAAAAACAGGCTTTCACTGGGTGGAAATTTCACCATTATTTTGTCTTTTAACAAAAAGAGGAAGAACATCACAGTGAGGCGCGTGTTCTGCCTTCCAGCTGTGAAAACGGTCTATAGGCTACTGCCTGAATTTGTTTAATGAAAAGAAAGTTGTTGTATTTTTAAATACACTGAGCAGAGTTTTCTTTTCTAAGGTTGTTCTGTTGTCTTATACAATATATGGCATCTTATTGACATTTCTTTTCTCTTTATTTGCATATTTGTGTTGAGGTTATCCAAAAGAAAGGAATGGAAAGTAATGAAGTTACGTTGAATATACTTTAATATTGTGATACTTGGATTAGGTTACGAACTACATTTCTTAACAGATAATTAATCATTGTTTTGCAATCCTGCAAATATGCCTTTGAAGTAATAATTCAACAACAAGTTCAGCAAAACTCAACATTTGTAAGACAGCAAATGAACATGTTTAAGTTGAACTCAAAATGATTTACAGTGTATGTACAGTTTACTGCACATTTCAAACTTCTTTATTTTGTCTTTTTCTACTTTCACTTTTTGTTTAATTGTGTATGTATATTACATTTTTACAATGTATTAATACATAGGATATTTATACTATGTATATATGTATTTTATTACATTGTGCTCAAGATGCTCGGTATACATACACTTTTCCATCGGGGAAAAGTCCTCAAAGGGCACACAACATAAAAGAGAACACAAGATAAAACTACTTAAAAAATAAGTATAAATAATGATATAAAATATTAAATCATAAAAATATATCCACAAACAAAACTCAGCTAATCATAAACAGTAAAATAAAAGAAAACATAAGGAACAACAAAACATTATGCAAAAGTTCAGTACCTAACTTTATACATTTTAAACACAGTTCATCTCTAACTAGCACACATCTTCTAGATTCAACAAATTCAAACTTTATCTATTTGATCTTATTTAATTTGTCAGGATTTCTGGCCCAGTTTTCAAACTACACTTTAAAAACGAGCACAAAGATAAAGAGCCTGATTCACTGATCATCATTAATTCACATGCAATTCATTGTTGTATACTAGGAAAAGTTTTGTTTACTATGTCAGTTATATTTCTAAAAGAAGCCTGTAGCAAGTTGTACGTTTCTATTTCACCACATAAATGCATTATGACTGTTCTGAAAAGGCCAGAGAGCACAGACTATGAGGAGAGAGTGAAGAAGGAAGAGATAAAATTACATTGAAATAGATGAAAGAGAGTAAGAAGTAAAAAAAAAAAAGTTCAACTACTTTGTTTTTTAGCCTAGTCATAATAACCCCCTGCTAAGTGTATGTAGAGAGGGAAACTACTGCAGTAAACCTAAATTAGTGATATTTTTCCTCTCCAGTTTGCATCTGTATTCATCTCTTTTGTTGCTCTGTAACAAAGCTGCATAATGAATAAATCTGGCTTGAAATGAGACAGAGAGTGAAGAGGACAGAAAATGAGAAAAAGAAAATTAGACGAGAGGGAGACGAGAGTTGACCGAAAAGAGAAAGAAATAACAGCCATTATATTTTGCAGTCTGTTGATGATCACCCCTGCTGAGCTCGGCCTCCTCTGCACAACTCAGACTGCATTAAATCCGACACGCAGCGGTTTGATTTCCTCCGCAGGCCACACACAGATCACACATCAACCATTCAGCTCGTTTTACACTAAACTGCATATTATTCTGTCTGTATCCAGCTGCTACACAGATGAACTGTAATGTAGTCTATACAGCCCCAAATATACCATAATACATGATTACACTTCCTGAAATACCACCCAAATATATTACAGCTGGTACTTTAATTGCAACTTTTACAAATAGTTATAATTATAACATTGCTGTTTGATAATTACTACTAATAAAGATGATGAAAGATATGATGATAGTTTTGATGATAATATATTTAAATCTTCTTCTACTACTACTACTACTACTACTACCACCACCACCTTCTAGTACTGAGTTACTGCTCATACTGTGTAATACTGTTGATGATGATGGTAATATCAAAGCTATTACTGCTACTGTAATCAATATGGCTGCTACATGTACAACTACTACTAATAGTACATATTGCTGCTATAGCTACCATTATTTTACTATTTATAATACTATTACCACATTGGTGTGACTACAAGGGTCTACTACTTCTATTGCTACTACTGCTACTACTATTACTGCTACTGCTACTGCTACTGCTACAAATACTACTACTACTTGTAGACTTCTTATCGGGGGGAATTCAACAATCTTGCAGAGTGCTGCACAGAAAACAACCTGCTGCTCAACGTCAGCAAAACCAAGGAGCTGACTGTTGCTTTTGATAAAAAAAGAAGGAAAGACACACTCCCGTCGACTCAGTCTTCACCCTTAATCATGGGACATGCATGGTCCAGGATGGGAGGACTCTGCAGCGGGTGATTTAAACCACCCAGAAGATCATTGGCATCAGGGATATCAGTGAGGTGAGGTGCCTGCAGAGCCAAAAGGACACTAAAAGATAGCACCCGGCCACCCCAGCCACAGCCTGTTCACCCTGCTGCATTCTGGGAAGAGGTACAGAAGCTCTTGCTGCCGTACCACCAAACTTAAAGACAGCTTCTTCTCTCAGGCTGTGACTGTTAAATTCTCAACAACTCATCATACAAATTATTTCATTATATTTTTTTCTTTTCATTCTACAACCTTGCATTGTAAATGACAATAAAACAACCTTGAATCTTTGAGTAAGAAGAAGATGTGTAATTTTGTCTAAAAATGTGTTATTTATGTAAAAGAAAAAGTGATAAAATCGTGAATTAAGCATATCATTACACCTCTAAACTGCTCACAACAAGGTCTGTGACTAATCATGAGAAACCAGGTCATGATTTTGAGGAAGAGACATAGCTGTTATTAAAAAAATATGTTTTAGGTGTTTTGAGGACCACAAGCCGAGTGCCATCTGGTTCCATTATACTTGAGAGAAAGCAGACATCTCTACAGCCGATATCTCCAAAATCTGGCAACTCACACCAAAACAATCTATATAGATAAACAGCATGACAGTTCAGAGGACATATGTATTTTTAATTTTGGGGTTAACTGTCCCTTTAATTAAGTAAGAACAGGTGCTACAAGTTTTTCTAGATACAAATAAATAACTACATATAGTAATGTTTGTATGTTTAGACTATACAATGCCATTACTGTCATAAAAAGTGTTTTTCTTTATGAATGCATCCATTATGTGCGTGCTTTAGTTAGAGTAACTATGTATAAATTCCATAACTGGCTTTTACAGTAGACAGTAAGACAGTAAGGTTGTAAACAGCCATTTAACAGAGAGCAGGCAAAATCATTTGTTGACACCATCAGTAAAGGTTTAAGCAGTCAGAAGCTACGCCATATAGGGCCAACAACATTACTAGCCCACCATTTTCCTTACAGGTAGCTAATCTAATGACACACAGCATCACCAGTACAATGACTAACAGACCAACGTTGTTTATGTACACAAAAACAAACCTTAAGCCGAGCTGGCCCACATACTCGTGACATTACACACGTTTAAAGATAGCTAACGTTAACTCTGGCCTAAATAAAAACTGTTAGCAACTTCTTTTGCTAACAGCCATTTAACAGTCAATTTAAAGACTCACACCCTCACACACTCCTGTTTTTGGCAATGTCCAGTCCACCATGTTTAGTTCTCCCACTCTCGCTCAGTTTTTAGGGATACATTTATCAATTTATTCTCTCCGAGTCCCTCCTCAGCTGGACAGGTGAAAGAAACACATCTGCTTTGAGCATATTGGCTAAAGTGGAGCTAATAAACACATGCTCCGACGTAAGCACTCAGCCGTCAATCAAAACATGGAGTCACCTGGCGTCAACTTTACATGAAATTATCCAATCATTTGTTTCTGATGTAAATTAACATTGATAGACACACTTTTTTAAAAGAAAAAGTTTAAAGTCTATTAAAAAATAGATAAAACCCATTTTACTCTGTGCCTGGGGGGCTGAGCCGCCTGAACGCAGGTGTAACTAATAGCATTC